CATGAACCATGAATCCCCCCCCCCGGTGACCTGAAAAACAACGAATCAATTTGTCATTTGTCGGGTCATTAAAAAAATGTTTTTTGCTTTCGCTCTCTTGCTATGCAAGAGGAGCGAAAGCAGGGATCAAAACAATTGCTCAGCCATGGCTGCAGGATTGCTTTGATCCCTTTCCGCTTCCTTTTGCTAAGTCCCATGGGGGTTAGCAAGAAGGGGGAAGGCAGGGATCAAAGTGATCCTGCACCACATTGATCCCTTTCCCCCTCCTATTTCCCCTGCAGGAGACAGCAAGAGGAGGGAAAGCAGGGATCAAAGTGATCCCGCAGTGGCTGGGGAAATACCTTTGATACCTGTTTGATCCCTTTGCTCCTCTTCTTATGCTGCGCAGGCATAGGAAGAGGAGGAAAGGGGACACAAACCATGTCCCAATCCTGGGGGTGGGATTCCCTTCAGGCAGGCTTTAGCAAGCCTCCCGAAGGGAAACCCCCTCTCTGCTTATGTCACAGAGGAACAGCTGATCTGTGGGGGGGGCACAAGCAGATAGGGAATGAAGCAACAAATATACACAAGCAGATAGAGAATGAAGCGACAAATATAAAAGGGTTATGTTCATTGCTTCATATTCGTTGGGGTTTCTGAACCCCAAGAATACAAAGCAACAAATATCTGACAAATCAGGGATATTTAACGAATATTCATTTCCCCGTGTCTGTCATCAGTCCTAATGGAGACTGCAGCCAAGAAAGCAGCAGAAGAATGAGACTAGGATGAGCAGCAATGAAGGAACTAGAAAAGATAATCAAGCACAAGAGTACATCACTGGGAGATCAAGACCAAGATCATCCACACTCTTGTATTTCTGATCACCATGTATGGGTGTGAAAGTTGGAGAGTAAAGGAAGCTGACAGAAAATAAATTATCCATTTGAAATATGGTGTTGGAGGACAGCTTTGTGGATACCCTGGACTAGCAGAAGGACAAACAAGTGGGTCCTAGATCAAATCAAGTCTGAACTATCTCTGGAGGCAAAAATGTTGAAACTGAAGCTGTCCTACTTTGGGTACATCATGAGAAGGCAGGATTCTCTGGAAAAGATAATAATGCTGGAAATGGTGGAAGGCAGCAGGAAAAGCAGAAGATCCAGCACGAGATGGGCTGACTCCCTAAAGGAAGTCACAGGCTTGAGTCTACAAGAGTTGAGCAAGGTCACTAAGGGCAGGACACTTTGGAGGTTGCTTATTCATAGGGTCATAAGTTGGAGGTAACTTGACAGCACATAACAACAACCTAGACTACTTAGAGGAGAAATAAAAGAAGATAATTTTATTAACATTTGATGCTCTTTGTTAGTTTTTCCTATACAATTAAATAGAGAGTGTGAGACTGTATTTTGAGAAGATTGGAATATTGGTCTGCTGTCTTTTAAACGTGATGGAATGAATTGTATGTATTTGTACTATAAATATATTGCAGAATATGTGACCATATTGATATTTGGGTGACAACATTAAAAAAAAAGTTTTTTTTTAAAGGCAACAGAGGATCAATCTGCTCTAAAAGCAGGCAATTTTCTCCAAATTTGGCCCAGAACAAGTCTATTACTCTGCTAAGAATCTGTTGAAAAGTTACAATTTTTTGTTTTGACTGCTCCCTCCTACTAGGAATGACTTATGGAATGCTGTTTTGACTGGTCATGCCATATCAGAGGTGCAACTCTAATCTGTGTAAATCACTCACAGTGGGTTATAGTTTGAGTGGGGGGGGGTGGGTCACCCTGCCATTTTTGCTTAGGATGCTGTGCTCCAACACATGTAGAAATATTTTCCCATTATTATAAATTTTTCATTATTTACTGTTCCTGTTTTGCCTCTTGCATCTCCGTCATCTTAGTTCCTACTACAATCTGTATGACTTATCTCAAGCCTTTCACCTTCCGTATCTCAACAGTAACTGAGAATGCACTTTTCAACTTCTGTGATGCTTTACAACCTCTAAAATATATCCAGTTCTCTCTGCCAGTAATCAAATGCCTTTAAACCATTGGTTGTTTCTGATATCTCCTCTACCATTTAACTTTGTAGGGTAGGTATTCCATTTTTAATGTGACCCAAGGTGATCCCTTTGACCCTGACATAACATATAATGAAGCTTTTGCCTGGGTGAAGCCCTTCTACTCAGAGAGCAATAGTTTCCTTGAGATTCATCATGTGGAAGAAACGCTGCCCTGTGGAAAGGATCAGCAAATACTAGTGGACTACGTCCTTGATCGAACAGAATTGGACCCAGAAGCCAATCACATAGATTTCTACTACATGGTGAGCATCTAGTCCTTTGAAGAAAGAGGGAAGAGCACATGTGTAGACAGAGGAATTGATGCCAACACAGAGAACGTTCGAAGGGGACAAAGCAAAACAGAAGCAAAACAAGAAAAGTTGCAGTGTAGGACAAATATGGAAGCAGGATAAGGAATTATTAAAGGAGAAGAGTAAATATAAATAAGAGAAAAATACAAAACAAAACCAGAGTGACCAGGTAAAGAAAGAAATAAGGGAGTGTTAAGGTTGCGACCACATTGATAAATACTTTGGGATTTATCCACAGTTAGTATGACTGAATTTAAAACAGTTTTCAGCAATCATACATTGAATGCAAATCAATCTTGTCCTTTTGCTTCCCATTTGGATTCCCCCCTGCCACTGGGGGCTTTTGCTTTTTTAAATGTGGAACAATTCAAGCTGTATTTTCTCTGTTTTCTTTATGGGGTACTTTGCTAGGCTTCAAAGAAAGAGATGGCAAATCTGCTGTTCATTGGATCAAATCCTCATTTCAAAAGTAGGCTTTGCTCTGTTGCTCTTGGATCCAGAGGACAGGGAGATGTTGCGCTATTACATCCTCTTCCATTTAATTTTGTATTGGAAAAATTTAAAGGAAAAGAGGGTTCACAAAAAAAAGATGAATTATTGGGGGACTTCAAAGAATAATAAATTTGCTTCAGTGTGAGCTTTCATGGATCCAGCGCATCCAAAGCACAAGTGGGTTTGCGCCCCTAAAGTCTCACACTGAACCAAAGATGTAAAATGGGACTATTTATTCATTTATTTATTTATTTTAAATATTTTACCCCTTTTCCCCCCTTAAAAAGGGCCCAAGGTGGCTTACATCATTAAAAGGCAATATTTGAAAACTGAAAAAACAAGCCGTATATAAATATTCAAGGAGTTAAACAATATTATGTTAAAATTGGGAATAAAATCAATAATAAAAACACATTTAAAACTATATAATCATCCATTTGAAAAACACTCTGAGACATGCAGGGAAAGCCTCCCTGGAGAGAAAGGTCTTAATCTGCTTGCAGGAGGACAGCAAAGATGAGCTTAGCCTGACCTCCCGTGGGACGGAGTCTCAGAGTCCAGGATCAACAACAAAGAAAACCCACTCCCATCCCTCCACCAAATGCACCTGTGAGGGTGGCGGGATAGAGAGGAAGGCCTCCCCTGATTAACTTAACACTCAGGCAGGCTCAAAGAGGGAGACGCTGCCCTTCAGATAGCTTGGACCCAAGCCTATTTAGGGCTTTATAGGTTAAAAGCAGCACTTTGAATTGTCCGTGGAAATAGATTGACAGCCAGTGGAGCTGCTATAACAGGGAGGTTGTTGTCCTTCTAGGGGCCAGCCCCAGTTAACAGTTTGGCTGCAGCATTTTAAACCCACTGAAGGGATTAAGAGCTCTTTGTCCCCTTAACATTTGAGATAGCTCCAAATAAGACCTGTCGTTCAAGGCTCTGGTGACCCATAGTTTTAGTTACTCCTCCTGCATTTTTAGCTACCTGCAAGCCTAACATGTCAGCTCCTCCTGTCTATGGTCTAACATATTATCTCCCTGCAGGTTGTATCAAAAGGAACTTTAGTTACTCCTCCTGCATTTTTAGCTATCTGCAAGCCTTACATGTCAGCTCCTCCTATGGTCTAACATGTTATCTCCCTGCAGGTTGTATCAAAAGGAAAGATTGTCACCAGCGGACAAAAAGAAGTGCCAACCAGCCAAGATGAGAGTAAGCAGGAGAAACCATCAAGTTCCAGCAGCTGTACTTGCACAGGCTCCACTGTGGTGTGACACTACTGTACAATCACATTGTGGTCTTTATGGGAAACAGCAAGTATAACATACTGGGCATTATTAAGTACAGTGGGGCTCTGCTAGATGATTACCTCGCAAAACAGGTAATCCACAGGACGATGACGTTTTGCGATCGCTATAGCGATTCGCAAAACAGTTTTGCCTATGGGGGATTTTCCTGGATGATGATTTGGTCTGTGCTTCGCAGACCATTTTTCACAAGATGATGATTTTTATAGCTGATCAGCGCTTCCGTTTTTCACAAGACAGCAATTTTACAGCTGACTGACGCTTTGCAAAATGGCTTCCCTATGGGTGATTTTCGCTGGACGATGATGATTTTTCCCCACTGGAACGCATTAAACGGATTTCAGTGCATTCCAATGGGGAAACGCTTTTTGCAAGATGATGTTTTCGCAAAACAGCGATTTCAATGGAACTAATTAACATCATCTTGCTGGGCACCACTGTATGTACATACTGGCAGTATATCCAGTCTTTCTTGAAGGGTTTACACCACTCGACACCCCCAGTTCTCACTCCAACAGCACAGGCAACATAGAGGCAGTGATTACTGGAAGAACACTTTATCCCTGGTGGTGGTGGGGACTTCTAAGATTGGGGAAGGGAGTCTCTGAAGGTGCACTGGATTGTTTGCACTTGGTAGGATGTAGGAAAAGAAAGAAAGAATGGTGATGAACAATGAAAGAATGGGGGGAAAGAGTGTGAAGAAATGGGCAGCAACAACATCTTAAGCATGGGTTCAACACATAGAATCATTGAGTAGGAAGGAGCCTATAAGGCCATCAAGTCCAACCCCTTGCTCCATACAGGAGTTCAAATCAAAGCTAAATAGAAAAACATATATAGGAAATGAATAGTCTGGGACCTTCTACTCTGCCACAGAAGCATATTCTGCAACTAATTTCCCAACTAAGGAGCCAGCTGATACCACCCAGGTTACACAAAACAAGATATGGGCATGTGTTACATAAGTGAGTTTTTGCTAGGATGGCATGCATGCTTTTTGGCTGTAACATTAAGCCATAGAACCAAGGCTGAAGTTCCTTATGTCCGTATCTTTTTGTACCCATCACTCTGGAGAGTTGTTTGATACCACAAGACTTCTTGTGGATTGCCCAAATTAGCAGCCTAGTGTAGCAGCCATTCCTTCTCTGTCAACACAACTCTGCAGAACAGTGATGAATGGGAAGGGCCCCTCGAGCAAGGGGAGAGAGCCATGAATTTGCAATTCCTCTGTCTGCCTAAGCGATACTGGTAGTGCTTAGACCCGGGGAAACACCACATAAGGACAAGCTAAACATATTTGGTGGGCCTGCTTTTCTGGTGTAGTGTGCCATCTCAAAATGTCATTTTTGACATTTATCTTGTAACAGAAGCCTCTCTGAGTTTGTTTGTTTGTTGGTTGGTTTGCTTGCTTGTTTAAAATTAACCCACCTTTCTCCTTAAAAAGGACGAAGGTGGTTTATATCATTAAAAGACAATATTTAAAAGCTAAGAACAATAAGTATACAAATAATAAAAAGGATCACAGAAATATTCTAAAAATAGTAAACAATCGTAACATCAAAAACACATTCAAAGCAGTAAAGCACAACGAGTCCATTACAAATCTCACTCCAGGTATTTAGTTACTGAGGGAATGCTTTCCTGAAGAGAAAGGTCTTTGTCTGCTTGTGGAAGGACAGCAAAGATGGGGAACCAGTCTGGCCTCCAGTGGGAGGGAGTTCCAGAGTCTCGGAGCAGTGACACATAAGGTCCTTTCCTGTGTCCCCACCAAACACACCTGTGAAGGTGGCGGAACAGAGACAAAGGCTTCTGTTCATATAAGACTGGCAGCCAGTGGAGCTGCTGTAACAGGATGGTTATGTGATTCCATGGGACCAGTCCCAGTTAGAATCTGGCTGGTGCATTTTGGACCCTCTGAAAGTTTTGGACCCTTTCCAGAGGCAGCCCCACATAGAGCATGTTATAGTAAGCCAGGATTATGACCAAGACAGGTGTCACTGTGGCCAGACCAGACCTCTCCAAGAACCTCCTCCACGAAGTTAGTCCTTCAGTGTAAATAATATCCAACAATAACTCAGTAGTTATCAGTTGGGGACACAGTATTGGAGAAGCCAGCCCTATTTCCTAGAGCATTCTGTTGCAGTGAAGTGTGAGAATGTGCATTTTTATCGTATGACATGTTCTTTTTCTCTTACCATGCCTTTTCCTTTACTATCAGATGCAGCACTGAAAGGGACCTTCTCTCTCACCCTGTCTCCAAGCTCTGATTTTGCCCCCACTGCCTGGCTCTTACTTTTTGCTGTGTTTGCTGATGGTGAGGTGGCAGCTGACATGGATCAGTTCCCTATAGAGAGGTGCATCAAGCATAAGGTTAGTGCTTCTGGGACAGCAAATGGCTAGAATCAATTGAACCAAAAGTGGTGCGGTAGAGCCATTTATATCCATTTATATCCATTGTTTTTAGTTTCACTCCCATCTATGGTCAGACACCATCCTCTTTATATACCTATGGGATTTGTGCAAGTCTCACAGAATATATAATTGATTGTTTAAAGTCCAAGCTCCAGATCTATAAATAGCAAATCCTTTTTTGAGATCAACTGTAAATGCTGATCTTCAACCTGGAGGCAGGCGGTGCATCATGGCCTCTCCCAATTTGAAGAGACCCTTGTCCAGCAGGCCGAGGCAAAGAGGCAGTTACAAAAGCAGCAAAATCAGGGAGCTGGACAGGGGACAGATTGTATTTGTCTTCAGTGTTGAAGGGATTGTCACTCTCGAATTGGCCTTCTCAGCCACACTAGACGCTGTTCCAAGACCTCCATACAGAGCACGTTACCATAGTCTTTCGAGACTGAAGGATTCCTAATGAACAAATGAAATGTACAAAATATGCAAGTTTAGTCTCGATAAAGTCTTAGTTAGATGAGATGGTAAAAATAAGATCATTGAAGGGGAAAAGAATGAGGAGGCACTAAAATTAAAAGACATGGATGCATCAGATTCTGAACAACAGCAAACACAGTACCAAGATGGAAAGTATGATCTAATAATCATGCAGCAGTCATATGACCTCTGATAAAGCCCAATAGATAGGAAAGAAAATTGAAGACATAGGTTCCCTTCTCTGTAAGGACACAAAACAGCAATATTATTTGCTTTTTTTTAAAAAAAAACTATGGTAATCTACAGAACAGCAGATACTACTGTAGTAAAAATTAATTGTTCAGCTGCATGTAGCTAAAGGGAGAGAATGCTTGGATTCTTGTACAGGACACTGGCATCCTTTTACTGTTTATATGAAAGGAATAGATGATAAGGGGTTTCCCAAAGCATAGAATTTACTGAATTGAGAGAGAGAGTGTGTGCGTGCTTGACTCCACCCCCCTGCATAGCTTTCAGAGGGATTCTTCATTTGTTTTCATGTCTTTCATTTACCTATGCATTCGTTAAACATAAAAGAAATCAACTTTTTCAGGTTCTTTTATTTCATTTCCCCCCATTCCTGTTTCTGGCACTTTGACCAAATTAAGCCACACAAAATCCTCGAAGCACTCAAAGAAACAAAACAAAACAAAAACAAACCAGGGCATGCAACAGAGAATCAATTCAAAACTCTTGGCACTTCGACCAAATTAATCCACACAAAATCCTCGAAACACTCAAAGAAACAAAACAAAACAAAAAAAACCAGGTCAAGGCATGCAACAGAGAATCAATTCAAAACTCCTAAATAACCCTTCAAAACTACTTAAAAATCAGGAGCAATACTGTTTTTTCTTCTCTTCTTGAGTCCATCTCCAGCAGACAGCAAAAATAATCCAAAAAAGGAAAGCGTGCACGGGAGTGGGTGGGGTACTAGTGCACGCATGTGCGGATGGGTGGCATGTGCATGCGGGTGAGCGAGGCACCCATGCACAGGTGGGCGGGGGCACCCATTCGTGCATGTGGGAGCCCGTGTGTGTGTGCGTGTGTGCATGGGGCGGGAGATCTGTTGGGGACCCCGGTTCTAAGGGATACCACCCAACCAGCCCTGGTGCTCTGCTGCACCACTACAGAATAAATAAAATATCTTCCATCACTTTTTGGAACAGAACATCATAAATACGAATGATCTGTTTCAACAAACAAGACACAAACAGATCATTCAGGTTCATCTGTGGGGCACAACTCACCAAGATTAATCTGTATTTCCTTCATTCATTGTCATCATTCACCACATGCACATAAAACTGTTTCACATTGATACAGTAGTACCTCAGTTTATGAAATTAATGTGTTCTACGGGACATTACATAAAGCGAAAAATTCATAAACCGAAACACGGATTGCCATAGGAACGGGGTAGCACTATAAACCTCCAGGCACAATGCATCCTGGGAAACTTTCTTCATATTCCAGGAAGAAAAAAAAACATAAACCAAGGCATTCTTTTCAATGGAATTCCCTTCATAAACCAAAATTACATTAACCAAGGCGTTAATAAACCGAGGTACTACTGTACTTCGTTCCATATACTTGCCTAGTTACTCTTGCTGTTGTGCCCTTTTCTTGCCCTGCTAGCCCCTACCCCACTCTCTCCTCTTTTTCCTGCCCTACTCACCCGCCCCCACTGCTCTTTCCTCTCCTTCCTGCTGCCGCCCTTCCATTCAGATTAAGTGATCACATGGAGAATGTGGATTGTTTCAGTGTCAGGGTCCACACCGGCCTGTCAGTCTGATGCTGTTTGATCTGTGTCACAGCCCCTCTTCCTTTGATCTTGCCCTCTGTTCATCTCCAGCTCTCCTTTTATGATTCATTGTGAAGCCAGTGGGCTACATAAAGTGCTCGATGATGCTAAGGAAAAAGGACGGTTTTCCAGAGTTCTCCATAATGTGCAAATATATACACACATACCACAGAAACATAGTAGTCTGCTGTAGTTCATCAGAATTGTTTTGATGTGATATCAATTTTGAGCTTTAAAAAATTCCATGCAAAGGTGATCTAGTGCTAAAGTAGTATAACAGTGTAATGGTGGGAGAATCCAGTGCTAAATGTGGTAGTTTGTTTTTAAAAAGTATTTACATTGCAGTAAATAGGGAGGAAGAATGCGGCGATGAGTGTTACCCATGTCCAAAACATCATGCCCAGTTTAGTACGTCACCAAATACCACCCACAGTCATGCCCCTTTCCTGTCTTTTTGGGGAATGAAACAACTGATCCCATAGGAGAAAGTCTATTTGAATTGCTCCAGCTTGTAAAAAAGTAGAAGCCCCCAGTGACAGAGGGGGAAAAAAACCTCTGCCCTCAGGAGCCAAGAGGACTAGACTGATTCAAATTGGCCAATTGTGAAAGGTAAAAATGTGAGTTTATCCATTTTACACCTGCAGCAAATCTCAAAATATTTAACCATGTAGTTGCTGCCGGAAATGTCTTCACTGTTCATCTCTATCCAAAGGTAACATTGGACTTCTCAGAGAAGGAGAAGCTTCCACAGTCAGAGGTCAGTCTGCAGATAGAAGCTGCCCCTGGTGCACTGTGTTCTCTCCATGTTGTGGACAAAAGTGTACTCATCAAGGAGAATGTAACTCTGACACCAGAAAATGTAAGTGTGCATCGACCCAGCCTGGGTGTCATGGCCACCAAGGGGTTTGAAAAGTGTTTTCGGGAGGTCACCTTATATGCGTCTGACTCTTCAGTTCTAATTACATTGCATAGTGAAGATATCTCTTGTTATGTGGCAGTCAGTTAGTTTTGCCTTTGTTATTGCAGAAGAAATTAATTGCAAGAAACTTGCAATTTATAACCGGTTTCTCCCAAGCCTTTCTCTGTGACTGGCAAAACCTACATGTGAAACTGCCACTGCACCATCAGAACTGTGCCTCTGGCCCTGCTTCCTGTCTATTACCAACATAACATAGCCAACCTATAAAGACCCATGGCACTTGCTGATAAATTTCAGCAGCATAGCGCCGGCCCTGATAGATCTGAGGGGCTATGCAGTGCTCAGCCATGGGTATCCTCGCCATAAACTAAAACCCTGATTTGGTTAACACTGGAATACTTACGCAGTTCTACTTGATACTTGGTGGTGAGTATTACGTGGTCTCCCTAACTCGTCTTTTGATTTTTGCTTTCAGTTATATAATGATTATCGATTTGATACTCTAACTACTGCAAGAGGATTTATGTATCACGTGGAAGATTTTGAGCCATATCCATGCCTACCCGCTGAAGGCAAGACGCAAAACCAGCCCTTGATAGCCCCCTGGTTTCAAAGGCAACCTGATGTCTATAGTCTGTTCAAGGTGAGTGACATCCGATTCTAACCTTAGGTTTGATACCTGAACTGTAATCTTGTGTTTTGGTCTGAAGCCCACGAGACGTGGTGTCTTTTCAAAGGAGGTGGGGATTCTGAGAGGCATGAGATTTATTTGATGATGAAGAAGGCCAAATGTTAACTAAAATTTAAGCTGAAAAGAAGTCCTTCAATGATGTGCACATATGTATGTAGCATCTCATTGTACACAGCAATTAAAAATCCCTTTGCTTAGAGTAGGGCCACTGTATGAATAAGGATTTGGTGTGTCAACTCCTGCATAGGTACCATTGATTCAAATGAGCTTGCTGTAATTGTAACTAACAACAGTAATTAGCACATCGCAACTAGAATAGGCCCATTTGAATCAATAGAATGTACAGAGGATTTGATGAACAAATCCTCACTGGGTCTACTTTAGTGGAGTTTACTACATGGAGCAACTGGATTTCAGATAGTAGGGTCATTTAGTTGGATTTTAATCACAGACAACACATGAAATGAGGAAATGCCTTTCAGACAAAAGTGGCTGTGAGATGAGAGTGCACCATGTGCAAGTTTTCCACATGTGCACATTTGTTCAAACTACACAACCTGTGACTTCTATTTAGTGTGCTTCTAACACTGAAGTAGGAAGTTTGTGGTTCACGTGCATCATTGTTCTTTAGACGTTTTGGGCCACAGATTTCCACAGATCTCTGTAACACCATGTTAATAGGAGAGAAAATTATGGGAGAGCAGCCAAAGAAAGCTTCAAGCTTACTGCCTATTCCCATTCACTTAGATGGACAAATAGGCAGAAATGATTTCAGCTGAAGGTGCTCTAGAGCAATGATTAATCACACAAGTTTGGAAATCTCATTGGGTCCAAAATGCTGCAGCCAGATTGTTGACTGGAGCTACAAGGATCACACAACTCCCATGTTACAAGGACCACATCTCCATGTATTTGTTTGTTTGTTTGTTTGTTATATTTATATATTGCCCATCTAGGGCCAAGTCACTACTCTTGGCAGTTTGTAAAAGTCACATATCCACAACAAATGACCTTGCCTAAGTGTTAATGTCATCAGGGGAGGCCTTTCTCTTAGACCCATCACCTTCAGAGGTGAATTTGTTGGGTACACAGAAGTGGGCCTTCTCTGTTGCTACTCCCAGACACTGGGACTCCCTCCCTCAGGAGAGGAGACTGGCCCCATCTTTGCTGTCCTTCCACAAGCAAGTGAAGACCTTTCTCCTCAGGCAAGCTTTCCCCCAGTGATTGGCTGCCTGAGTGAGGTTTTTTAATGGATTGTATTTTTAGTGTTGAGTCTATTAACCATTTAACCAATTTTAATATAATATTTAATATTTTTAATATTTGCATATTTCCCGTTTTTAGCTTTTAAATGTTTAAATGTTGCATATTTCCTGTTTTTAGCTTTTAAATGTAAGCCACTTTGGATCTTTTTGAAGGAGAAAGAGGGGGTAAAATATTTTTAATAAATTAAATATACAAACTTGCCAGGATGTCTATGTTCACAGCAATAGCTTTGTGAGTGGCCAGGATCAGTGATATAGTTATCACTCTAAGTATTTTGTTTATTTTCCCTGTGACTTCACTTTCTAGAACTCCCCCACTCCATCAAATATATTGACCTTCCGCCATCATTCCCCTTGAGTTCTTTTAGCTAGATCCCTCCTCCATGAATCGGATTGCAGTTCATGAAAACCTGTGCTTTGATTGCTAAACGTTTAGTATGACCATGAGGTTGTTTGTCACCTTTTAAAATTAGTTTTAGTTATTTTGATGTTGTCTTTTTGTGTATGTGGATTGGTGTGTTTAATTTTTGTTTTTGTATAATTATTATGTTTAATGTTGTTTAAAGTGTTGCTTGTTTTATTTGTGTTATGAACTGCCCAGAGTGGCCTTGGTGGCCAGATGGTCAGTATAGAAGATGAATGAATGAATGAATGAATGAATGAATGAATGAATGAATGAATGAATGAATAAACAAATTAATAGGCAGGCAGGCAGTCTTTTGTCAGGTACTAATTAGTGCCTTTCCACACAAGAACATTTTGGTAGACAACACTGCCAGAATAGCATGTAACATAGATTTGCCAGACAATCTTTGCCTCATTTCATGATGCTTCTCCTTTATTGTATGACACTGCCAGAATAGCATGTAACATGGGACAGGACAGTCTCTAATATTTCCTTAGATTTGCCAATCTTTGCATCATTTCATGATGCTTCTCCTTTATTGTATTCTGTTTTCACACTGCCCTTCTTTGTCTCATGATTTCCACAGCAACTGAGGATAAAACTTTTTACCAACACAAGAGTAAAGAAACCAGTGTCCTGTCAAGTGCCAGTAGAAGGAGAAGCTTTTGGTGGTGAGAATCTTGTTGTCATCTGACATTTTTTTTTATTTTCTCTTCCTGGAGGATGGAATAGAAGAGGGTGTTGCTAGAATCCATCTTCCTTGAAGCCTCTCTTGATTGAAGACAGACCATTCTTTTAAAGAATGTAAGATCTGTATCAGACCCTACATTACCCATAGGGTGCTATAAGGTCTGATGCTATTGTTATTTCTGGTCAAAGAGGTTTCGCAGTATTTGGAAGCATTGTATGTGTCACATAATGTGTCAAGTCCATTTTTACTTAGGGTGATCCTAGTAGGGCTTTCGAGGGTAGTGAGATATTCAAAAAGTGACCTCACTGAGTTTCCATGGCTGAGTGGGGTTTTGGACCCAGGTCACCTGCTTCCTAGGCCAGCTGTCTATCCACTATACTCTAAAATGTAACATGATATGTGGCACTTGTTGTTTAAGAGTGTGTCAGACTCAGAGAAGAGTACTATATTTTGTTTTTAAGCTGTCTTCCCTGTGCTTCATTCTCTTTGTTTCTCAACTGTCCTTTGCTGCCATTCTTCATGCACATTTGTTGAAAATGTACCCTTCTTAGGGTGCAGTTACACTAATGAAATTCATTGAGTGATGGGTCAGAGTTATTGAATTTAATCACATGGACGTGGTGGCGCTGCGGGCTAAACCGCAGAAGCCTGTGCTGCAGGGTCAGAAGACCAGCAGTCGTAAGATTGAATCCACGTGACAGAGGGAGTGCCCGTCGCTTGTCCCAGCTCCCGCCAACCTAGCAGTTCGAAAGCATGCAGATGCAAGTAGATAAATAGGGACGACCTCGGTGGGAAGGTAACAACGTTCCGTGTCTAAGTCGCACTGGCCATGTGACCACGGAAGATTGTCTTTGGACAAAAACGCTGGCTCTATGGCTTGGAAACGGGAATGAGCACTGCCCCCTAAGAGTCGAACACGACTGGACAAAAAATTGTCAAGGGGAACCTTTGCCTTTACCTTTGCCATATGGGTGTTGGCTCAGTGTGTGCATCCTCTTGGGAAAACTTTTTATCCATTTTAAAACTTTGTTTATATTGGTGGAGGGGGCTACACGGGCTTTTAGAATACTGTAGTTGCATTTGAGGCTTTGAGCTCTGCCTGCCCACCCTCATGCTGGCTGCCTCTCACAGTCACTTGCTGCTGCTGCTACTGTGATGTTGTTTTTATTGGATATTTGGTCTCTGGCTGCAGAGCCAGAGATTGGGAGTTTGGTTCCCCACGGTGCCCCATTGAGAGAGCGGGACTTGATGATCCACAGGGTCCTTTCCAGCTCTGCCATTCAAAGGTGGTGGTGGTGGTGGTGAATTGCAATCTGGCATAGTGTTAATTCCGTATGACACAGGAAAAAAAATTAAAACAGAGGTTTTCCTGCCACCTGATAGGCACGCATGGACTCAAACACACAAATAGACATGGTGAAGGAGAGGCGAAGGAGAGGAAACAGGGAAGCGCCAGCCAAGGTTGAAACTGACCAAAGACATTTTGAATATGTATTCGCGAAGACTTTCACAGCCAGTATCTAATGGTTGTTGTGGTTTTTTTGGGCTCTTTGGCTGTGTTCTGAAGGTTGTTCTTCCTAACGTTTTGCCAGTCTCTATGGCCGGCATCTTCAGAGGACAGCACTCTGTGCTCTGGTGTGGTTGGCTTGGGAGTGGAGTATTTATGGCTGTGAGATAGGCTTTTGTTTTTATTTTCTGTAGATGGGTGATTAGTGTGTCTTCTTGTGGTTGTATTGTTGTGATAAGAAGGAGAAATTATCTGTCACTGTGGTTGATAGGTGTCATTAGCTGGTCTTTTGTGTGTAGTGGTCCCCGATCCTTGTGGCTGAGTAGAGTTCGTTGACCTTTTGCACGCTGTAGTTTTGAGAGCTGGGAGACAAGTTTTGTTGAGTTTCAAACTTTCCTCTTTTTTGTTGAAACTGTGCTGGTGCTTGTGGATTTCAATGGCTTCCCTGTGCAGTCTGACGTAATGATTGCTGGAGTTGTCCAGTATTTCGGTATTTTGAAATAGAATTTCATGTCCAGTTTGTTTTAGGGCATGTTCAGCTACTGAAGGTTTTCTGGTTGTTCTAGTCTGCAGTGTCTCTCATGTTCTTTGATTCTGGTGTGCATGCTTTGTTTTGTGGTTCCAATAGATACCTGGCCACAACTGCAAGGTATCTGGTTTACTCCTGCAGTGATGAGGAGGTCCCTTCTGTCCTTTGCTGACCGTAACATTTGTTGTATTTTGTGGTGGGCTTGAATACTGCTTGTAGGTTGTGTTTTTTCAAAAGTTTCCCCGTGTGGTCCGTGACCCCTTTGATGCATGGCAGAAATACCTGTACTTTATTTGTGGGTGGCTTTTTTTCTTCTTCAGTTCGGTGTTGTTTTCTTGGTTTGATGGCTCTTGTGATTTCATTTTTGGAGTAGCCATTTGTCTGTAGGGCCCAATTTAGATGGTTGAGTTCAGTGCTGAGAAACTGAGCTTCCCAGTTCCGATTTGCACGGTCTACCAGTGTTTTGATTATGCCTCTTTTTTGCTGTGGGTGGTGGTTTTTGGAGTTTTTGGTCACACAAAAGACCAGCTAATGACACCCATCAACCACAGTGACAGATAATCTCTCCTTATCACAACAATACACCCACAAGAAGACACACTAATCACCCATCTACAGAAAAAGATAAAAGCCCATTTCACAGCCATAAAAACCCGACTCCCAAGCCAACTACACCAGAGCACAGGTTGCTGTCCTCTGAAGATGCCGACCACAGAGACTGGCGAAACATTAGGAAGAACAACCTTCAGAACAAGGCCAAAGAGCCCGAAAAACCCACAACAACCACATTTTGAATAGATTGACATTTTTAGGCTTGTGAAGGAGGAAAACACACACACACACACAGACACACAGAGAGAGAGAGAGAGAGAGAGAGAGAGAGAGAGAGAGAAGTGGTGAAGAAGAGGGGGCACGAGAGGCACACCAGTAAGTGACAAACCATACAGACTCAATTTAAATTTAAGTTGTTTACATATGCCAAAATGATTCAAAATAAACCAATTTCACAATTTTTACTAAGTGAACTTCTTGCAACTGAGAAAATACTTTGCTGTCCAGCCAAAAAACATGCTTCCCAGGGGAAAAAAATCTGTGGTTCCATTTCCATCATGTAGTCACCTTTGCAAATATCAATTTCAAACATACTAAACCTAATTCAAATACAGTTTCTTCCATGTGTAACCACACTCTTATATTCCATCTTTTGTACCATGTGTATACCATGCTCCTGTTTTACCAACCATATCACTGTAGACATGTGAAGCACATCGTTTCCAAAGAATAGAAATAAATGAACACTCCAAGCCTAATTTTAAATTTAGCAAAGACGCAACCTTGGTTCAGTCAAGGAGCAAAGGATGCAGCTGGCTGAAATTATAGGAGTTGTTCAATGAATAACTTTCCAAGCTATGGTGAGAGAATTGTGTCTCACAAAACTAGTTGTTGTAAAATAAGCAATACAAAACAGGAACTCATGACCCAACCTCATTCCACAAAGTAATTAGAAAGGAAATAATTGTATTTTAATTGAGATGTAATTTTTAAATTAAATATAGAATATTGCCAATTGCATGCTGCAGGAACAGAAGCCTTTATATATATGCTGGAGAAGCAAACAAATTTGTTTATTCCTTTACTTCAAGCACTTTAGTATTGCTGCTCTATTAAAAAATTCCAAAGGTTGCTTCTAGACTCTACTGCCCACATTAAAAAGTGTGCTGCTTATATACTGCCCCATAGCACTTAAAGCAGTCTCTGGACAGTTTACAATTTAATTATGCAGGCAACACATTGCCTCGAGTGAGCTAAGAGCTCAGTTGACTGATCTCAAAATGATGGAGGGCTGAGTCAACCTTGAGCTGGCTACCTGGGATTGAACCCAGGTTCTGAGCAGAGTTTTGGCTGCAATACTGCAGTTTAACCACTGCATTGTTGTGGAGCTCTTCTTTTATCCTATAATGATTTTTATTCTTGTAAGAACCACAGTGAAGGAAAGAATAACAACACTGGGTGGGCTGAAGATTGAAGTCCATCTTTCTGGACCTCTTGTAAACTTCGGGGCATAGTAAAAGCCTCTGCTGAGTGTGCAGAAAGAATGGTTGCAAAACCATATTAAAATATGAAAACAAATGGAATAATTTAGTAATAGCAACAAATGCTAAAGGAAGTCACAGTTAGACTAAGTCCATTTGAACCAGAAAAATGGGGAGGCTGTTGCCCTTTTCTCTGTGACGCAAGGCTTTGTTGCCCCTCTACAGCCCCTGCTGTTGCCTCTGGATTCCTCACTCTCACGTTGTGTCCGTGGCTTGTCCTCCCTCCACTGCCGCTTCTCTCACCAGTGCCCCTGCTGCGTGTTTTGCCCCTCCTTGTTTCTCACCATGGCCACCACGTCCTCTTTCTTGCTGCTGTGCATCTGTTCACCGTCACCCCTGGCCCTTTTTCCAGCCACCATTCTTCAAACCAGTTGCCACCACTGCCTTCACTCCTCTTGCTGCTGCTGCCGCCGCCGCCACCCCTTCTCTTGCGACTGTTGCTCTTGCCTTTGCTCCTGCCCTTACCCACTGCTTCTCACCGTGGCTGGATCCACTCGCTGCCAAGACCCCATGATGAGGTGAGGCTCTCCTCTTTTAAACCCACCTGGCAGACCAGATTGTTGTCGACCAAGCAGCCTCGGTGTGATGGCCCTTGATTGGCCACCAATCCTGAGCTGTTGATTAGTTGATTCATGTCCCAGGCATTGGAAGTGGACTGTCCAGAATCTCTTTGCTCCTTTTAGATGCTCCTAGGCCTTCAAGCTTGCAGCAGCCTGGTGGAGGCCGTTTCTGAGCACACCTGGCTTTGCTGGACTGCACACCTGAGCCCCAGTTGAATTGAACTAGGGGGACCTGGCTGATGTCAGAACTTTGAAATGTTCCTTTTCTGGAAAACAGGTCCCATAATTTCTGATGAGGATTTGTGCTGTAGATTGTTTTGTATGTCATTTTCACATAAAAACAGTGCCAGGGCCTTTGCAAACTGATGTCCATAAATGGATTTCAACTGTTTGCCAAAGGATAGCATTTTGTGAGAATTGTGATATTTATCCTGTAAAAGTGGCTTCACTCATTGGCTCATCACGTGTAAAGCCTTGTTTCTGACAAGCTGTTACTCAAAGTCCTCTGCTTGCATTTTGCGTTATATCTGCAGTTCCATAAGGACTAGAAAAGGAAGGAAGGAATTCCAAAGCTTTGTTCCAAAGCATGCACAAACCTCAGGCATATGTGCTTCTTCCTCTAGAATCCAAAATGATGATAACATTCTCTTCGGTTTTTAAAACTAAACACCAGAGTTTTGGTTTTTTAAAATATCAGACCAGGTCAACCTCTACTCAGTTTTTTTGATAAACTGTAATTTATCACAATAAGGTCAAATTGTGGTTTTCAAACATATTTTATCTGTTGCAACTTCTGACTTTTGATGACCATGAATTGATGACCTCCAAAAGATCCTATTGTCAACAGTTCTGTTCAGATCTTGAAAACTAAAGATTCTGGTTTTCTTTATTGACTCAATCCATGTCATACTCAGTCTTCATGTTTTCCCAGTTTATCTCGCATTATTATCATTTCTAGTAGGGAGTCTTTGTCTTCTTGTCCCCAAAGTGGGGATGGCTGAGAGGGTCTCCTCTGCCGTAGGCTCCATGAACTCCAGGCTCTCCTTGTTACTCAAGCTGGTCTTTATTAGGGTACCAAATCAGGATCTAAAGGTTCTGTCCTGACAGAAAGAGCCAGGTGTCAAACTCCTCTAGCCCCTTGCTGCCTGCAGTTCTCAACTCGGTCCAAGCTCTCATTTGTTGGAACTGCACTTTTAGCACTTTTTCAGATGGGGTGCTCCTTCACGTGGACCTGCCTCACCTATGTCCCCTATATTTAGTGTGCCTTGTTTTGTATTTGATATTTGGAGGATAAAGATAGGCTTAATTAGTAGGTCTGATTTCACAGGCATGTATCTGAAATTCTGAAAAAGGGTAAATTAGAATACACATTCACCTTAACATCTAATTTAACCCTTAAAGGGAGCATAGGTTTTTAATTTTGGTTTTTATTGCAAGAAAACAGAGGGGAGTTGTTTTTCTTTCTTTTATTATTAATCTAATTTACCTAATGCTAAACTAGCTTTTGATCTTGCATCTTTTCTTGCCAGCTCTTCCCTGGAAGCCCCTCTGTCATTTCTAGACATTGAAATTTGATGTTAAGAAATGTTGTCAGTGGTAACGACACTTCTGTTATCACCCCAACCATTTTTAAACACAGTGGTTCTGACTGTTTATCCATCTTTGCTGACAGACTTCCGATTTTTTTTTTTGCTCCCCTTTGACTACTTTGAAGGAGGTGTTCCTCAGCTCTTAAGTTTAAAGAACGAAGCAGATGTCGTTCCTCAATCAATTCCTAAACCAGTCACCCACAAGAAAGAAAAAGCCAAGCCCAGGGCATATTTTCCAGAGACCTGGATTTGGAATCTGGTTCCCATCAAGTAAGTAAAACTCTATTGGGGAAGGGTGTGGTCTTCTGATCTGACTAGCATTAGCCACAATATAATAATATAAGCCATCATTCCTCTTGAGTTCTTTTAGCTAGATCCCTACATGGACATGAGTGCCTGAATATTCATCTTTACTCAAAACATCATTGTGTTGCATTTCCACGAGCCCTTTTCACGAGTACAACAAAGATTAATCTGAAAGCATGAGCAGGGGAGTAGCTCTAGCCACCTCCTCTCTCTGACTCTCTTCCCATGAAGGACACTCTGAAGAGGAGACTCTATGCTACTGGCAGTATCCCCATGTAAGCCATTTGTAGCAGAAGTTTTTGTCTTCAGACAATGCCTTCCCCATGGAGGTGGTGACAGGCAGGGAGCAAAACTAGAATTCTCCCTCCTTAGATATAATTTTTTTAAAAAAATCACCTGACCCTTCTGTCATAAGAAGGTCTCTTTCAACTAATGTTACCCCTTTCCTGGGAAAGCGGTACTGTGGATCATCAGAAAACTGCACATAATGCTGGTTCATGAGGCTGGCACAGTGAATGCAGTGAGAGTGCATCTTGAGGCTTTCAAGATCACCCTCCCATTTTTACCAAAAGTTTCCAAACACTTTAGTGATTTAAATCATATTGTTAAATAAGAGAGAGTCTATTGAAATGGCTACTCATTTGCTTGACGTAGTGGTAAGGCTTCATGTCTTTGCATACGTAAAAGTCATGGGAGCGGCTGTGTGCGGACAGAAGTGCACTTGACATTGTTTCCAAGAAGGCTGCACATTATATTTTATGTGTGGCTCGTGTGCCATGGCCCGTGGCTGCCAACAGAGGTAAGCTTGTGAATCATGACAGTATTAGTGTGAATCATGACAGTTCCAATCAAATAGATTATTTTTCTTAACTCCTTTTCTACACATGATTTTGATTTATATTCCCAGTCTGAAGACTGTGAGAAATCTAAAATAAGGGTTTTTTACAACTCTTGATTCAGTTCTGTTATCTTGACAATTGTTGCCTTTTTCACACACCCCACAGGGAGGGGAGAGAGGGAGAGCTTGTATTAAGTATTTGTCATGTACATTGGTGTTTAATAATCAGTATAAATAAAAAAGAAATGTTTTGATTCTGAAATACAGTGATGCCTTGCTTGACTACGATAATGTGTTCCAGCAAAATCGCTGTACAGCAAAATCGTCGTCAAGTGGAAAAAAACCCATTGGAATGCACTGAAAACCAGTCAATGCGTTCCAATGGGGGAAATACCTCATCATCCAGTGAAGATCCTCCATAGGGCAGCCATTTTCTGCTCCCTGTCTTGCAAAATGAAGTCAGCAAAACAGTGGGGAGCCATTTTGAGAGCTGCCGATCATCTGTTTGTAAATCATCATCTAGCGAAAAATCTGTTCCCAAAGCAGGGAACTGATCGTCGTCTAGCAAAAAAAACCCTATTGGAATGATCGTTTCGCGATCGCTATAGCGGTCGCAAAAACATCGTCGTCAAGCAGGGTAATCGTATTGTGGGGCACCACTGTATCACTGAAATCTGCCCAATGGACATTTCTATTCATATTAAAAATATTTATCATCTTCTGTTTTTTGATAGCTGAGGCAATGACACTATATTATGATTTGGAAGCTGCTTAGAAAATCTTATAAGATTGGAAGGCAAAATAAAAAAATGGACAAGCAAAATTATGAAAAAATTATTATGATTGTCTTCTGAAATTTCTATTTTTAAGAGTTAATCATACACAATACAGTGGTGCCTCGGTTTATGAACGTAATTGGTTCCAAAACTCCAGTCGTAACTCGAAATGGTCATAAGTCAAAGCATAACGTTTCCCATAGGAATGCATTGAAATGCAATTAATCCGTTTCGGCCAAAGGAAAAAAATCACCAAAACACACACACACATACACTGCAAGACCCATTGGAAATGCGATTAATCCATTCTGGCTGAAGGAAAAGAAAAAAGAAAAGCAAGCAAAGCATGCAAGACCCATCGGAAATGCAAAAAAAGCAAAAGAGAAAGCAAGCAAAGCATGCAAGACCCATCAGAAATTGGGGGGGGGGACCAAAAACCAAACAAACCCTGCAAGACTCATCACAGCATAGAAACATAATCCCACCACCCAGCCCAAAACCATGCTGCAAAACCCATCCAGAACAGTTTTTAAAAAGCAGAAAGCAGCACCTTACCTTACCAGCCAATCCGAAGCCTCCTCCAATCTCACACTCTCTAACCACTGGGACGAAAGAGCTACAAAGAAGCAGCTTCTTCACCTACCAATGGTTAGCAATTTGAATTCCCCGCCTTTTTTCTTGCCTTTTTATGGTTGTAACTCGAAGCCCCGGCCACAAGTCAAAACAAAATTTTGCGGCTGGAGCTGGTCGTAACTCAAAATGGTCATAAACCAGGACGTTCGTGAGTCGAGGCACCACTGTATATATTTAATTTGGTTTTTTAATTCCCATTGTTATGTAGTTCTGCTGCTGATTTTCATCTGATCTGTTGATTGTAATAAAGAAGAATTGAATTGTAAAAGTTAACAGCTAATTAAATCCGGCCACTTCCTAATTATTTCTTGATTCAAGCATTCATCTGGAGGAACCATACTGAAAGGGAATTATGAGATCAAGAGTATGCCTGAGAGCAGAAATTACTCAGGCTCTACATGCTTCTGAATGTGTAGGCCTCATCAGCATACTTTTCAATGTTCCTCAGTTCATTTTGATTTAGCTGTTGAGGGTCTAATCTCACTTAAAACAGAAGACAGACTCAGAACCTAGCTGATTCTATAAGAGACAAATGTGAAGCTCAAATACAGAGATATTTGGAATGTGTAGCCAGGATCCTACTGAATACTGGCTATGGTCACAATCAAGACCGCACAGTTTTCATTGTGATGGGCCCTGGATGCCTCTGTGTGTGGCCAGCAAAAATGCAAAACAGTTTAACTGGCAGTCCATTGCAAGGACCGTTTGACACAACAAGGTCCTGGCCCTTGGCTCTCCTCATTTTTCCACATCTTACAGCTCATGCTATCTTTGAAAGCCAATGTGAACCATAAAAGTTAGCATACATTTCAGTAATACCTACTATTTCCAGATTTTTCCCCCCTTAGGTCAGTTAAGAAAAGTGGCATATAGATAGAGTACATAGATAGGAGATGGTACAGTTTGGCTTCAAAGAAATAGAAGAAGCAGAAGAAGACCTTGTCAGCGAATGTTTCTACTTAAAAAAGTCACAACCAGTGGCGCTAAACCAGTTTTTGGACTGAAGCAAAACTGGAGGGCAAGGCATTGACATGGGTTGACATGAAGGCTTCCCTGAAAAATAGTGCTTTTCACTGCCTGCTGAAGGAGTCGAGGGAGGGGAGCCAGGCACAGCTCCTCTGACTACAAGGCGTTGTTTTCTGTTTGGATGGGGGGAGCACACCAAATGGCCCACGGCTCCTCCCTCAGACCCCACCAGAGCTTTTGTAGCCCTCTCCACACCATACCCAAAAGGGCCAATCGGGACAGGCCTAAAATTAGACACTTGTATGATTCTCCGAGTAACCCAGTATTGGTTAGAAGGATTCCACACTCTGTAGCCTTGTGGTTACTAAGCAATCTACCCCATTTCTGTTCTTCAGTGAGGAAGGGAAAGCAACACACTCAGTCACCGTTCCAGACACAATCACAGAGTGGAAAGGAAATGCCTTCTGTGTGGCTTCGTCTGTTGGGTTTGGACTCTCCCAGCAAGCCACACTCACAGTTTTCAAGCCCTTCTTTGCTGACCTCCAGCTGCCGTACTCTGTGGTTCGTGGAGAGACTTTCCTAGTAAAGGCGATTGTCTTCAATTATCTCAAAGAATGTATCCAGGTGAGTGCCCATTTTGGCCCCTGCCCTGGCCCAAAGACTTCCTTTACATAGATATCCTGAAAGAAATGAAAAACCGCCCTCGGCTTTGGACAAGATGAAGTCTAAGGCCAGGAAACCAGAGGTGGAAAAGTCCTCTCTTTTCCCTCAAACTTAACGACTTCTTTGTCACTTCCAAGATGGAACTCTATTATTTCCTTCACAATATCCAACCAAAGTTCAGTGTTGGGGAATACAGTAGTTTGAATACAGTATCTAGCTATGGATGGAATTTCATTTTAAATGTAGCTTTCAAAGTTTAGAAGTATTACCCAAGTGTGGAGAGCCAGAGGTACAGATGGAGCCTCATCTCTAGAATGCCAGAAGATGTTTTGGAAGTCTTTCATCTCTAACTACAGAAAGATGAACAACTCAGAGAAGCATCTCGTTGAGTCTCTACAGTTTGTCCTTCCCAGTCTAGAAGACAGTGTGCCACAAATAGTGTTCATGAGATGGGGGCAGCCAGACCATCCACCACTTACAATACCAAACCCCTATAATAGTGATTCCCAACCTTGAATAACCTAAGTGTTATTGGACTGCAACTCCCAGAAGACTTTGCCACTAGCTGCGCTAGCTAGTGGGACTTCTGGGAGTTGTAGTCTAAGAACATCTGGAGACCGAAGGTTGGGAACCACTGCCCTAGAAGCTTTGTAAACAATCCGATCCAGGCAGAAATTCCTTCCTGACCCAAATATAGTGTTCAGGGAGCAAGAGGAAAGCATACCTACTTCCATTATACTCAGCACCACTTCATATCCTTCATAACACCCTTGTTAGCAGTAAAACCCAAGTCATTGGCAACTGCTTCCCAGTAGTATCCTCTTGAGACATGCCCATTCCACAACTCTCATCAAACGGCTGCCACTTGCTGTGCTGTCCATATCATGTGTATTTCTCCTTTGCATCGTCCAGGTGAAAATAGATCTACCAGAGTCTCAAGAAGTGGAGATGAAGCCATGCCCAACCTGCCAGTTCACTGCCTGCCTCTGTTCTGATGAGGCTGAAACTTTCTTCTGGAATGTGACAGCTACCCAGCTGGGTGAGGCTGAAGGACCTGAGGAAGAAGGGATGGGGGCGGGGGGGGGGAACTATTCCTGAATTCTTTAGTTGGTGTCTTGTTCAGTATTTTAGTGTGTAGAACTTCAACTGTGGTAGCTCCCAACAGGGCTTTAATGAGCAGCTATTCACAAGCAACTGGTACCTTGTCAGATGGCTACGGCAGCTTTTGTAGATGGAGCCCCTCATGTTCATAAACACTGAATAGTGTAATGATTTTGGTCAGACCTTGTCTATCTATGCACACTCACCAGGTTGTAGAGATATTGATGGGCTTTCTTCCTATCAAGGATGATGTCCTTTCCCAAAAGGTTCTGATTTTGGGTGACAAATTAACTCTCTTATAGTTTATGTGACAAACCAAACAATTGAATTATGTGGAGTACTGCTACTATTGTTGTTATTTGCAGGGAGAAAGTGAGAGTCTTCTCCTCAAAGATGTTATATATTTACTGCTAGGTTAGATTAGAAGCAGTGAAAATTGTTGCCAGTTAGAAGTGGCAAAAATTTGGAAAGTTTTTACAGTGAAAGCATACTTTAGTATAATTTGGGATGTTTTAGAATTATCAACTCACAGGGAAAAAAGACACATGATGAGAAATGTGGTTTCACATTATTCTGTATTTTTACAATAGCATTCCAGAAGTCAGTGTCTCACAAATAGAAGTGATATTGTGGAGGAACTTAGTATGAAAATTAATTTATTATAAAGATGAATGATACTAATGATATCCTTTGTGAAAGGCAGCCAGTTTTCTCCTCAATTGTATCATCGGGTACATGCCATCATGCTTATTCTCTCCTTTATCTCCAACCCCATGTCTCTGTTTCTTACTGTAAACCTCAGTTCTGATTAGGAATGTCATAAAATGAGGTACAGCTATTCTTTCTATTTGAAATGTTTTTAGAAATGAAACTAAGCTGACTTTAGTGCCCAGCAGGATGCTGGGTGGCTGGATGCTCACATTTACATTGAGTCTGGTAGTCAATGATCTCTCCTTTTCTAGATTCCTATAGGGCAGGTCAACCTCTCGGTAACGGTTGAGGCCATGGAGACACAAGACTTGTGTGGCAACGAGATCTCCACGACACCTACACAAGGCCGGTCTGACACAGTGATCAAATCCCTGCTTGTAAAGGTCTGTGTGTTGCCAGCGCAAAAGCCAAATCTGGTTCACACCTTTTAATCATTGGCAAGTCCTGAGAGCCTCTGGAAGATACTTAAAGGATTAATAATAAAGGGATTATACTAAGAAAGATGATTTTTTTCTCAGATCCAGCAGTCTGGCAATCTGGGCAGGAAAGAGCTAGGGCCGTACTTTGTTAAAGGGTATGGCAAGAAAAAAGCTTATTTGAGGAGTCAGCTAATAGACCCAATACAGTATCTCATTACTACTACTTCTTCCTACAGGCAGAAGGTGTCCTTGAAGAAAAGACCCACAATGCATTCCTTTGCTCTTCAGGTATGACTGGGCAGCATTACTCATGCAGGACAGCTTCTCTTTCCCCAATGCCTCACTGAATAGTATTTTAAAGGAAAGAATGCTCCCTATTCACAGGCAATTGGAAACGCAACAATGGGCTCAAGTTTCAGGAAGCTAGATTTCGGTTGAATATCAGGAAAAACTTCCTAAATGTTAGAGCAGTACGGCAATGGAACCAATTACATTTGTGCCCCGCTTAACGATTATTTTGCATAACGACAAATCTGCTTCATGACGATGTTTTTGCAATCGCAATTCCCTTCCCCAGAAAGGGAAGGAAGGAAGGCTTGGCTTGGCTTGACTGACTGGAAATCAGCTGTTTGGTGCGGTGCGGGCTTCTGCAAGCAGACCATGACACTTTTATTTTATTTTTATGAATTCTTGGAACAGATAGCAGGCATTTTAAAAATAATAATGCAGAAAGGGGTGTTCACATAGGCAGAATCCATTCCAGTCGATTCCAATCCCTGTCAAAATAAATGGGCCTCCAGCAGAGGAGTAAAATAGCTCTCTGCCACACCAAAAAACCTAACCCTCTTTTAAATTAATCTGTGCATGTGCGTACCTTGGGTAATTGCCCACATTTAAATCAATGTAAACCATGCGAGACTTGATTTAATTAGGATTTTTTTTATCCAGTAGAATCAGACTCTCATCTTGTTCCACTTGAATATAGCAGTTGTGTGTAGATCATTCAGGGAGCTCTGCTGTTAGAAGAAGTGGATGTGTAAGCAATAAAGACTTGTAAATGTTTTACAAGCTGCTGTAGAAGTGAACACCAAACACAAAACTTAGAAGGGCAGTTAATTGGCAATTCAGCCACAAAGCAGAAATACACCAGGAGAGCCACCTTCCCCTTTGGGGTGTTTGTTTGTTGTTGTTGTTGTTTACTCGTTTAGTTGTGTCTGACTCTTGTGACCCCATGGACCAGAGCACACCAGGCCCTCCTATCTTCTTTGGAGTGTTTACAATCCTTTTATACACTTTCAGTTATGCTCAGTAAGCAGTTGAACAATTACTACAACACAATTTTTTTTACAAAATCAGGTGTTCATTTGCAAATCTGTTTTCCTCAGTTATGAATCGCATCCCTTTTTATAAGCCTGTGTGCCTTACAGTCCTTAATATATTACGTCTGTTTCCATATCTGCCTATGTGAATTGCTCAGTTAATTGAAATGGCTCTTACTAACTTCCATGCTGCAAATTAACTTGTTTTTGTTTGTTGGNNNACTGGGGGGGGGGGGGAGAACAGGCAGTGTTTGCCTATTGATTGTGCAAACTATTATTTATTTAAATTTATTTAAATCATTGTTACCCCACATTTCTCCTTAGAAAAGGAGCCAACTCAACTTACAGCATTTAAAGACAATATTTAAAAACAAAACAATGAAGTGGCAATATTTAAAGACAATATTTAAAGCTAAAAGCACTAAGTATAGGAATATGAAAAGGGAACAAACAATATACCCCTCTTAGAAAACACAAGCAATACTAAAAACACAAAGCAATGATCTAACAATTCATCTAAAAAGATTGTGCCCAGGCAACCAGTCACTGAGGGAAAGCCTGCCTGAAGAGAAAGGTCTTTGCCTGCTTGAGGAAGGACAGCAAGGATGGGGCCAGTCTGGCCTCCTGAGGGAGGGAGTCCCAGAGTCTGGGTGCAGCAACAGAGAATGACTTCTCCCATGTCCCCACCAAACACACCTGTGAAGGTGATGGGACCGAGAGGAAGGCCTCCCCGATGATCTTAGTACCCAAGCAGGTTCATAATTCATAGCAGGTTTATAACAAACTATTGCTTGTGCATCCTATGAAGAATTTTGCTTGCATATATTTCGGCTCTCACTGAGCTGGTAGATGCAAAGTACTCAACAGCTCTGTACAAGAGCAATCTCGTGACTTTTATTTGGTTCAGCATAACATACCGTCTTAATTTCCCGGATTTATCCTTCTGCAGGGGAGCCAGTGGAAGATGATATTTCCATAGAATTGCCTGAAACTGCAGTGGAGGACTCTGGCCGTGCCACAATCTCCGCCATTGGTAACAACATGTGCACTTGTTGTGAAACAAAGTTCAGACCAAGAGCCCTTCCCATCACCAACCCCATGAGAGCTAGGTGGATATCCTACTCAGTCCGTGGTCTGATCTGTTTGTTCTAGTTCCTGGCAGATATTCTGATCAGCTGTATGGAGCAATGCAACCATGGGGGGTATCTCTCCATCCCTCCTTACACATCTGAGAAGAGGCTACGCCATTAAGGAATCTTGACTTTCCTCATTATATCCAGGAATGTTTAAATTGGGGTGGGCACAGACTGAATGTGGTCCCTTAGGGGTATTTTTTTAAAACATGTAAGCCCCCCCTTCTCCCTATAAAAAAACAGAGGGGCATTTTTAAAATTAGACAATAGTAAGATTTTCTGTTCCTGGAGATCTTCAGAAGCAATATTGGGTTGCTGCTGTTTTAACTTCTTTGGATTGGAGGGGGCGGGGAGAGAAAGGAAGGAAGGAAGGAAGGATTTGGATTGGGGGGGGGGAGAGAAAGAAAGAAAGAAAGAAAGAAAGAAAGAAAGAAAGAAAGAAAGAAAGAAAGAAAGAAAGACCGACCCCATCCAGGAATTTCCAGTTTCCTTTAAAAAGTCAAGCAAAAGTGCTACAGAAGGGCCTGGGAGCACAGGTTTGTCCCCTGAATTTGCCCAATCTCAAACGAGTGTGGAGAGACTAGAAGCAGATTTTGATACTGCTGTGCTCTTCTCCTGCCCTGGCTCCTTGCATCTCATTAAAACAAATAACGTCTTCTGGACAGCTGAGTGATCTTCCATATTGTGTCAGTCTGTGGGACATGGTGGGAAATAAACGAATGGCTCCTAGACGCAGCTAGGTGGCAGAGTAATCCTTGAGAAGAGGACTCAGTAGCAAGGTTTGGCAAATCCCTGATGGGGCAGCCTTTTTTTTTTTTTCTTCCCCAGACTGTTCACAAGGACAAGGATGTTTACTGAATATGTGACATTGCCCTTTATGTCTCAGGCTGCTAAGAGAAGGTTGCTTCTAAAGTCTGCTTGGGAGTTAGAAAGATTCTAACATTTTCATCCTCCATTTTGTTCGCATTCAGGAGATATAATGGGCACTTCGCTACAAAATATAGGCCAGCTGCTTCAGATGCCCTTTGGCTGTGGTGAGCAAAACATGGTCAAGTTTGTTCCTAACATCTTTGTACTTCAATACCTGGAGGCAACCAACCAGGCGACTCCTGAAATCAAAGAGAAAGCAGAAGAATACATGAAGAGTGGTGAGTAAGGTCAGAGTTGGATCGAGATAGGCTGAGACCCACAGCGATGTGAAACGTTGTACGCCCCATGGCATTATCAAAGATGTATAATGTTTTTAATGTTTTACATATTTTTGCTTTTTAATCAGAGGCCCTTAAAGAGCTTACTTTAATGCAATACAGGGCACGCCTACTTGAGGAGTAAAAAGCCATTGAACTGAACAAGTTACTGCAGGAATTCTGTGAAATGAAAGCAGCAAAGCCAGGATGGGCCCCTCCGAGTCACTTTGCTGGCCACTTTCAAAACATGAGTCTTACAATACGTGATTCTTTTTTTCCACATGCTATACAATTATATTACTGTATTTTCATGCATATAATGTCTGCATTATATGTTTTTTCCCCCAAGCCATGGGACCTACCATGTGTTATATTTGTAGAGGACACCATAATTTTTTCCAGTACTCAGGGCCTTTAGAGGTCTTATCCAGCCCTGAATAAATCCATTCAGGATAAAATGTGATCAAATACAGAAACTCCTAGGGCTGGTTTCTGTCTGTTGAATGTTTTCACAGCAACTGCTACAGGTTTTCAGAGAAAGCAAAGCATTCCTTGCATCCTTTCGCTCAGTTTAGAGTAGAAATAGAGCTACCCTTGATGAAAAGTCTGTAAAGATTTTTAGTTAAATTGTTTAATGCATGCAGTTACAAATTCCTGAGCTGTATCTCACTATTTTCAAAGATAGTCAATGGAAGAAAATCATCTCATTGTGACTTCAGACAAGCTGGTTCTGTGCTGTCTCCAACCTTAAATTCACCAAGCCTTTAGTAAATCTCAAGTACAGTACAGGTTCAGAACTGACAATACTGTTCCCACTCATCCCCTGCAGGATACCAACGTCAGCTACTCTACAAACATGATGATGGTTCCTATAGTGCTTTTGGGAAGAATGATGCTGAGGGAAACACCTGGTGAGCAAGTTGGCTGAATAGTTCAGTGAGTTGTGATATGTGGTTGCAAAGTATGCTGTGCCTGTTAGGAGCAAAGTCCAGCGGTATAGCCTTAGGCAGGCTACACAGTCCCAGAGAAGCCCCCACAGGAAGGGCAAACCCTACTCACCCTAAGTCAGAATTGACAGCACTTCCTTGCCATTACTGTACAGTGGGGTCTCTACTTAAGAACTTAATCCGTACTGGAAGGTGGTTCTCAAGTTGAAAAGTTCTTATGTTGAATCTGCATTTCCCATAGGAATGCATTGAAAACCATTTAAACCGTATCTGCTCTTTTCCGGCCATAGAAACTACAGTGGAACCTCTACTTAAGAACTTAATCCGTTTTGGAATGGTGTTCTTAAGTTGAAATGTTCTTAAGTTGAAGCAAAATTTCCCATAGGAATGGACTGAAAACCAATTAATCCGTTCTGGCTGTTTTTTTGTTATGTAGAGGTGCGTTCGTACATTAACCAAAGCTGGTTAATACGTACTCTACCACTATGGGGAGATTTTTTTTTTTTAACCTAAGATGACCTAAGGTTAAAAAAAGAACAGGAAAGGTTTTTTTTCCTGTTCTTATCTTGGATTTCTGTTGTCAAGTAGAAGCAAAATTTAGCAAATGGAGCTGTTCTTAAGTTGGATTGTTCTTAAGTAGGGACGTTCTTAAGTAGAGACCCCACTGTATTAAGCTGAGTGGCCTGTACCATACAGGCAACATAAAAGCTATCAGCATTAGTAAATTGGAGAGTCGAAAAAGAAACATTGAGGAGAATGCCTATTACTTAAATTCTTCTCCTGGTTTTTCCATCTTGAATTATGTTTGCTTCTTTCAGTCTTTTTATTGATGTTTTTAATTCTATTGGTTTTTTGGGGAATGTAAACTGCCCAGATTGGTCTAGATGGGCGTTATAAAAGCCAAATAAATAAATAAATAAATTACCAACAACTGACACCACTTTCATCCCTCAAAAATGCATCATGAACGAGTCTTGCAAGCAATGTCTGTATTTTCACAAAACGAAGCTTGCAAAAGGCAAATGCAAGTGAGGAGAATCATGTGCTCTGGAAAAATAAGACCTCTTCCATCATTTGAGGGAGCACCTCTTGTAAAATTGAATTGGCCATTTATATAGCACAGTACTTTCTATGCTTTGTTTTGTGGTTGGTTATCTGAAAGTAATTGCACATCCAATGCTGAAGCAAGGATCTCTCCGAACATCCTGTTGTGGAACAGAAAGACATGCTGATGTCTACTATGACCTTTGCACTTCAGTTCTTTCTACCCTCTTCTTTTTCTAAACTACAGGCTGACAGCTTTTGTGGCTAAGGCTTTTGGGCAAGCAAAGTCCTATACCTATATTGAAGAAAAGCATATTCAGGATGCCGTTCACTGGTTGGGGCGGCAGCAGCTTCCCAGTGGCTGCTTTCAAAATGTGGGAAAGCTCTTCAACAATGCTCTGAAGGTAGGAACAACGACATCTGGGGCAGTAGCATAGCACATAAAGGATTCTGCCAGAATAGCTATACTCATTTGCTGTCATAAAAATCAAGTTGTCTATTCCTTGCAGCATAGTTACAGTAATTTATATGATACTTCCACAAGCTGGCAGGAGTGGTGCAGTGGTTAAACTGCAGTACTGTAGTCAATACTCTGCTCATGACTTAACAGGTAGCTGGCTTGGGTTTGACTCAGGTTTGCATCCTTCCGAGATCAGTAAATGAAGTATCCAGCTCTCTGGGGAAATGGGAAAGTGTAATTAAATTGTAACCCACCCCCCGTCCCCGGGAGTGCTTTAAGCCAATGGTTCTTAACCTTGGGTTACTGAGGTGTTTTTGAACTGCAACTCCCAGAAACCCCAGCCAGCACAGCTGGTGGTGAAGGCTTCTGGGAGTTGCAGTCCAAAAACACCTGAGTAACCCAAGGTTAAGAACCACTGCTTTAAGCTCTATGTGGCAATATATAAGCACCCGCTTTGCTTTTTCTTTTGTCAGGAGAGCTACTCTAAGGTGAAAGCATGGTTGGTGACCTGCCACACCCGTGGGTACCCCAGGGGCCTCTGTCACAGTCTTTCTGCACCTTCCTTCCTGCAGAGTAACAGTGGCAGGAAAATAGCATGGGCAGGCCTAAAATATTTTGGTTCCTGTGGTGTGAAGTCTCATTTGGATCACGTTAACCTGAGACATGAGCCACTATGACCTTCTGTAGCTCAGGTCTCCTGGAAACCATGGCCACTCCCCTTCATTTCAATGCCCTTCGTGCAGGTTAGGTCCTGGGTTTATGGTCAGACCTCTGTATCTCCCACTCATTATTGTCCCTCAAGTCCAGTCTTGGAAAGAAGCGCTTGCCTTTTAATGGGTTTGTGCTCAAAGCCTTGAACAATAAGCTCCACACAGCTTCTTATTCTTTGGGTTTTCACAGTCACTTGTGAAAATGTCCCTGGGGCAAGGGAGGCAAGGAAGAAACTATTCCTTGGGTCATATATTCTGTCTTTTAAGGTGATGCTTGCTGTTGCCTGGCAGGCAGGCATAATATGGGTATTTGAACTGTTGCCAAAATGGGGCTGTGAAGAAATGCACCTTCACAGCCTTCTGGCTTGACTCACTGCTCATCTACAGGGCGCCGTGGATGATGATTTCTTACTGACAGCTTACATCACTGCCTCCCTGCTTGAGCTCCACTTCAAGACAGATGTAAGTCCTTCCTTAGTTTTTGTTTCTTCTGCAAGACCTCTGAGGTCTTTGCTAACACAGAGCCTGAAGAATGGATTTTCTGACACAATGTATACAGACTGAACACATTTGACACCAAAGCAAGTACAGTGGTGCCTCGCTAGACGATTGCTTTGCATAACGAATTTGCTTTACAATGAGGTTTTCGGAGCGATCTTGCGCTTTGTATAACGATGTTTCCTATGGGCGATTTTCGCTTTACTATGTTAGGGACCTTGCCTCACAAGATGATTAAATTTTAGGTCCCTGTTTTTCTCTTTATGATGTTTTTGACAGCTTGGTCTTGCTTCGCTAGACAGGACTTTTAATAGTCACTGTTTCATTAGACGGCTGTCTTCGCTTAACTATGTTTCCTATGGCAATTTTCGCTTTACAATGACAATCCGTTCCCATTGGAACGGATTATCAGGTTTTCAATGCATTTCAATGGGAAAACGCGTTTCGCAAGACGATGTTTTTGCTTAACAGCGATTTTCGCGGAACGAATTAGGTACCCCAAAATTCATCTGGTCCACCCCCTTGCATTCTGCTTAGTAATGTAACTAACTACTGTTGTGTTATAGAATACCATGGTAGATGGTGCCTTGCGCTGCCTGAGAAACAACTCAAAAACTATGAATGGGACCTACCCCAAGGCCCTGTTAGCTTATGTCTTCTCATTGGCTGGTGATAAAGAGATACGACAACAGCTCCTGCAAGAGTTAGAGGACGAGGCTGACAAAACAGGTAGGAACAACTATTCCATTCAATATGGTATACCAGCCACAAATATTTTTAGCCAGGATTTCCCTATGGAAGAATTTCATTGGATTTGGCAGTGTCTACAAGAGTAGTATTTTCATACCTCCTAAGACTCATTATAAGAAGAATTTAATGTATTATTCTGTGGTTTGAAGACAGCTGCCGAAGAGATAAGTAAGACAAAACCATTTTCATTGTGCAGAACCTCCAGAATCATCCTGTTCAAGCAGAATCATTGGGTCTTTTTAAACTGGCCACCAATTGTCATAGGGCCACTCCCTAAATTTACAATAATAAAGCTATTATTAGTGTTATTCGTTATTAATCCTGTAGCAATTTTAAAGACTACTGAACGTTAAAGTTAACATTGGTTTCTTTTTTTAAAAAACAAAAACTTTATCTAAATGTCTCCAGAGATAGCTGTGATGAAGGAAGAGGCAGTCCATATCACTATGGATTAATTCTCCAGTTGAGGGCAAAGACTAGTTTTGCTCCAAATTCAAACTTCTAAAAGTGTTTCTCATACAAAGTAATCTGTGGGAACCTAATCTGTGAGAAACTAGAAGCCAGTAATTTTAAATTGCATAATGTGAAGTAGTGGGTATGGTAGGAAATTGGACATTAAAGCTAAGAGGCTGAATAACTTAGTCAAAATTCTATACTTTTAAGCTGGCTTCTGTAGCATTCTGCTAAAGACATTTAGTTGAAAGCGATGTGCAGATTCTGTAGTTCTTTATAGAGCTAGTCATGTTAATTTAACTGTGTGTCTTTATTTGGGGAAGACGAGATCTCATATTTTAGGATATTTCTCACACTGCCCTGGATTGACTGGTACAGAGTGTTTCCCATGCATTTCAAGAATGTGAACATGCTTGAGAGATGCACTGATGTAAGAACTGGACTACAGAAGACATTTTGCTGAAGGGCCCACCAGACCTGTACTCATCTATAGGATCACCTAATATCTGGATATTTTCCCAGTTGTGTTGTTATATCTTTTTCAGAAAACATGGTTAACAATTCTGAGATTAAATTGTTGCTTCCCGGTTGCCTTCGGGGTGTGCAAAATACAGCAGCCTAGTGGGCAAAATCTTGGAAGCACCTGCACTTCTCCATGAATTACTGTGAATTATTGTTGGACATTAATGTGAGACCAAGTGGTGGTCTTATGTTCTGGATTGAATTTTAATCCATTTTCATTCCATTATTCCCCCCCCCCTTTTAGATGGTACTCTGTCCTTCTTAGAGACTGAGACAACTGCCTACTTTCTCTTGGCCCATCTTTCTGCATCGGATGTGTCCACAGATAAACCCTCACAGATAGTGCGTTCCCTCACCAAACGGCAGAATCCCTACGGAGGCTTTTACTCCACACAGGTAAGGAGCCAAATCTTCCTTGCAGGAAAAGAGTACTGTTGCAGAGCACTGTTGCAGAGCACATGGATTAGGAAGTACACAGTCTGGCAGCAAAAGCTTGCCTCACTAAATTCAGGGGCTCTGAATGCCATGGCTAATGGGGCCAGTGGTGGTGACAACATTTGAAATGTAAATGAAATTCAAGTATGGCATTGATCTACTCATGAGTAAGGCCCGCCGAAGGCACGAGTCTGCTCATGAGTAAGGGCACTGAATTTGCAGGTCTACTCATGAGTAAGGCCAGCAGCCACCATTCCAATACGGATTAATTTCGTAAGTCGAGGCACCACTGTATAAAGACTGTGTGTGAGTACTGTTTGTTGGACAATTCTTTATCCAATATGCCCATGAGAGAAAAAAGTCAGATAAATAGAACATGTTAAAATATGTCTGCATCTACTACCAGGAGCTAGCTTCACATGTGCAGTGGTAATTTAGCTTTGACACAGAATTCAAACATGCAGTTCTACAAATGCATATTTCAAAGACAAGAGAGTTGTACAATGAGGGTTTGTCATCATTGTGTCCTGCCAAGTCAGATCTGACTGACAGTGACATAATAGGGCTTTCAAAGTTAATGAGAT